CGTTTATTTCTTCGTTCCCCCTTTTGAATGTGCGGTTTATGTAAAATCGTGCGGTATTCTCGTCCAAGTCTGAAGGTGGTCTCCACATTAATTTCTTCCCCTACAATTATCTTTTCTACTATTTCTGCGTCTACAGCTTTTAAATAGTCTTGAGTTGTAGGAGCAGCCAATAATTCTTCTAAGCAGAAGTGCCTTCCTTGAAAGACTATATTTTTCGTTTTTAATAAACTCTCCTGGGAACCCGTTGATAGATCCTCGAACGTCATAGATCCATTTACAGTTTCATAACAAGGTCCAATATGTCTGAAGAAGGCATCGTTAGACCCGGTAATCAAAATCACTTTCTTATACTTCTTCTTGTCCATTACATCTCTTAGTTTATCCCACATTTCCATTATTCCAGACCCTTCGGTAACTTTAAATAAAATGATTATTAAGAAGTCGTACTTAGGAAGTCTAAATGCCTCTAGTGCCAATTCCTGGGTGTCATCGTCAGGGTTGGTAAAGAGTATTTTCTCTTTATAATTCTGAACAGTTTTCTCTTTACAATTCTGCACAGCGTGATAAATTTTTATTGCCTCCAATAGATGGCCGTGGGATACAGCGACGTGAAATATCTGTTTCGAGCCTTGGAAATTCAAGTCGTTTTTTTGAAGAGACACCTTATATCGTTCTAATTTTTGTCAGTCCGTCCATATTTCTGCGAACATGGCCTTGGCGTGAAGTTCTGTAAAATATACGCCTTCTTTTTGTTGGAACCAATCCATTACTTAAGAAAATATTTCCAGTGAGGTTATCTTACTCTGTGAATTACTGCAGCACTTTGTGAGCGACAATAACTTTTTTTCAATGTTCTCCTTAAGGGTATTTAGAGGTGGATAATTGAAGTATATTTGAAAGTGTTTCGAAAAGTCTTCCAAGTTTTCTTCAGTAATGACTGATTCTTCAATACCTTTGTCTCTAAAATTTTATCTGTAACAGCTAGCTGTTGTATTTATTAAGTCCGGTAAAAATTTATCTTTAAGCGTATAACATGAACAATCGCCATTTTCATGGTGCAGGCCTTCAGAATTATCTCGATCTAAAAATTTTAAAGCCTTCTGATTGACGTCTGCGTTTGTACATAGAATAACATTTTTCACGTTAAATTTTTGCTTTACTAGCATGTAGGATAAGAAATATTTAGGCAAGCTGAAATCATCGTTCTTGGAGTTGGTGGAAGTCAGTTCTTCCAAAGTTATCTTCTTGTTGTTGCTCTCTTTATGCTTGGATTGTATGGGAACGGCTCCCTCCGACCATTCCAGAACGATATCGTCGAATTTTCCTGCATCTTCGTTCTCTGTAGATAACTTCCATTGACTTAATGTTTTTTTAAGCGCGTTTAGAATAACTGTTGCCAGTAAATAAACTTGGTATTCCACCCCCTTGCTCCCCGCACTGCCGCCTTTTCTATATTTACTAGGATAAGTTTTCCTCTCTACCTTGTTTTTATTAGATTTTGGACAAACTCCTTTATTTACGGGTTCCAACCTTGTAAAAACGTTTACATCAAGGCATACGACACCTTCTTTTGGCTTTTCTTTAGGGACTTCTTTTGGGTAACTTCCAAGAATGTTCGGATTAGGTTCTACGACGTCTATAGGACCTCTGTTTCCATCTGAGAGCACTACAACTTTAATATTTTCCAATGTAGCTAAAATTGGAATTTCTTCCTTCGCTATAGCTTGTTCGCCAACCATAATGTCACACAAATATACTTTGCAAGATGCTGTTTAATGTCAGTAAACACTTGTTGATATTTCTCCTTTGCGTAGAGACATTTTCTCAATGTGTCCGCCAGAGACGAGGGCATTCTCTGGTTTTTGAAGTATGTGAGGAAGGTCGCACAACGCATGCGTCTGAACTCTGCCTGCTCGTCCAGATATACACCGCTTTCAGCGGTCCACACCCCAAATGTAGCATGAAAAAAGCTGTTGCTGTCTGATATAGTTGGGTATCGCCTCCACGACTTACCGTTGTAAGTCTAGCGGGTGGTATCCATGGTTTTTCAATGCTGATATTCTAAAACAAAAATTTCATGTTAGTTCGTAAAATACCTCATTCTTTCAATAATTTTAAAAAATTGGACTTTGGGAACGAAAATGTATTAAGAAAAAGTTGGCGTAGCAAAACATTGTGAAAACCCCAGTAATGTTAGTTTGTCTCTAACTCTAACTTTTTTATTTGCTAAAACTAGAAAAATTCACTAACCCTAGTAGGATATATGCATTAAATAGGCACCAAATGTATGTTGCCCTTTTACCACAACCAAATAAGCTTTACCAAAAAGAGCACCCTTGCAATAAGTAGATTTTTTTTTAATCTCCGACGAAGTCAACCAGTTAACCCCAAGTACCTACAATAAACAAATAACTTATTTCATTCGAAATAGTTAAATCGATCTATCGATTTTGGCCCAAGTAAATCAGCTCATTAACTGTAAGTGAGACCTATGCTAATTTAATTACTGCTAGTGAGTTAAACATTGCACAAACCATTATTTCCTTTGATTCGTTCATTGATTGAGTTTATTCGCGGTATGTTGGCTGCACGAATTTCCACGCTGGATACTAGCGATACTGGCTGATATATTCAAGAGTGTACTTATTGAGCTTACAACAATTTCATTGATGACGCTGAAAACGCAATCAAATCCAATCCTAATACTTTTTGCAGTTTTCTGAATTCAAAAGGATACATTCATCTATGATAAATAATGACCACTTTATAAATAATCCTTAATTAATCGTTGACACATTTGCGGCATTCTTCTGCGACGCATTCGTGTTCTCTGCTGAATTTAATAACACTGTGGAAAGTAAGAATTGTCATGTATTACATTTGATGAAAAGCTCTGAGTCCGATATTATAAAGGCAATTAAAAGATTAAAAAAACAATATGTGTATGGGCTCTGACCTACTTCTAGCATTTCTGATTAGAGATTGCGCTGTAATCTTCTGCAAACCTTTGCTTATCCTATTCAATCATATACTTGCATCTTGAAAGTATCGCGTATAACGCCTGTCCATAAGAAAGGAGCAAAAAATGAATTTTCAAATTATAGGCCCATTGCTATCTTAAGCAATTTTTGTAAGGTGTTTGAGACTATTTTGCACAATTTTATATCATCCCATACTTCAAATATAATTATCCATGAACAGCACGGGTTCATACAAGGACGGTCAACAATTTCAAACTTACTGTGTAAGACATAATATATTTCTGCAGCTCTTGATGTCGGAAGTCAGGTCCACGTCATTTATACGGATTTTTCCAAAGCGTTCGATAGACTCGATCACTCCAAACTGTTAAATAAACTTAGCAACATAGGTATATCTCCGTAACCGATCCCAATATGTGCAATATCGTGGGTTCAAATCAGATACGTTTCTTCAAACATCAGGTGTACCTCAAGGGTCCATACTTGGACCTCTTCTGTTTGATATTTTTATTAATGATATNATGCGTTTAAATCTAGAAATTTTGAATTTACCGCAAATTTGCCGCGATCTGATTGGTCGAGAGATGTGGCCAATTTGAATGCTACGCTCTGATTGGTCGATGGGCGTGGCCTAAAAGTGGAGTGGAGGGGGTAAAATCCACAAAAAATTTGCAATCTGAACCTTCATAAGAAAATACATGGGATTTTGGCTCTGAACGCCTATAGCTTATCTACTGATATTAATTGTAAAAGTGCCACGGTCAAAAACTGACAAAGAACGAAGTTTTGTCATTAGAGGTGAGGTGGAAGAAGGATTAAATTTGATCGATATACTTATATCATAAATACACGAAATGACGTCCGGATCATATTTTTTTTTATCAATTACCGAAATGAAAAGTGTACTGTCCAAACTATTGGTGTGAACACGTTTGCTAAAATCCCGTAAGAAATTGCAAAATTTCAGCTTTTGGAGAATCCTGAGATATACACAGGGCACTGCTTCAGGAGATCGTCCACAACACTTTTTGCAGATACTGGAGCAGATATACTAGAGCTCAAACGACACGGTGGATAGGAATCGTCATCAGGAGCGGAGGGATACGTAGAGGAATCACTTGCAAACAAACTCAATGTTGCAAAACAAATATTTCAACCTGAAGAAAATGACAATGTACATATACCAAGTACTAGCACATTTAAAGATTTCAAATCAAGAACTAGAAATAAAAAAATAATTCACCAAGTTCAATATTGAAAATTGCACGAATTGTACATTTACTTTTAATATTAATGGTAAAAATAAAGTTTGACATAAATTATTCCCAACATATTAGTTCGTAACTTTCGCAATGCAAATTGATGGTGCTAATTAATTATTAAATGATTTGCTATTAAATTACGCATTTTATTGATTTATGAACCTAGAACCTACAAAAAGTATTGTATGTAACTCATACAAAAAGTGTTTATTGCCCTTGACTAAGCATCCACTTACATTGAAGTAACACTTTTTTTTATAAAAAAATTTGAGATACGTAAAATCGCAATTTTTGTGCTTAAAACTAAGGTGGAAGCGTTATGTATGAGCATATAGAAATGGACGTGAAAATAATACGAAATACCTTTCCTAAAAATATGCTCTGGGTATGGAACATGTCGACTAATACCTTGCGTTACAAATCCAGTCATAACAATTTTGAACATCTTTAAGCAGATGAGGACCTATCCAAATTATGGATTATTATTATTATACATTTTATTTTAGTTGCCATTGAGGTTATTACGCACTTAAAACATTTGCTTACTTCGTGAGTTCTGTATTGTGTGGAAATGTCAGACAATATTTGTCAAATGGTGATGGTGCGCATAAGAGATTTAGCACTTATTCATTTTTGTTTACCGTCTCTACACATCTTCTTTACTGATATTCGTAAAGTAGTCGACAATTTGAGGACGATTCTGAGCAAGAGCGAGCTGCTGTGCCGTGTTGCCATCTTTATTCCTAACATTGATGTCTGCTTCTACTTGAAGAAGGAATTTAACTATATCCAAGTGACCGTTCGAGGCAGCTAAATGTAGCGGCGTGCGGCCATTCTCGTCTTTGATATTGATATCACTGCAGGTTTTCACGAGACTGTCAACAATGGGTAATTACAATTGCCCAGACCTTGCGGTAAAATCTACGACATTGAAATTTTCAGCTAGTTTAAGGAGACACTCGACTGTATCTAAGTGACCATTCGCAGCAGTTAAATGCAGTGGCGTGCTTCCGTCATCTTCAATAGAGAAATCCACTCCCAGTTCAAGTAAGAATCGAGTTGTGTCGGATTTACCGTTAGCGGTAGCAAAGTGCAGTTCCGTAAGGCTATCTTTATCCCTAATATTGAAATCGGCACCTATTCCAAGGAGGAAGTTGATCACATCCAGGTGTCCATTCCACGCAGCAAAATATATTACCGTGAAGCCGTTGTTGTCCTTGAAATTGACATCAACGCTGAGATTCACGAGATATTCCACAACGGCCAACTGCCCAGTCCTGGCAGCAAGGTGCAGTGCCAACCTGCCTTCATCATCTACAGCTTTTAAATTTGCGCCCTGTTCCAGAAGGAATTTGACTGTGTCCAAACTACCATCTTCGGCAGCAAGGTGCAGTGCCGACATGCCTCCATTATCTACAGCAGTTAAATTTGCGCCCTGTTCCAGAAGGAATTTGACTGTGTCGAAACGACCACGCCAGGCAGCATAGTGCAGTGCCGACTTGCCTGCATTATCTGCAGCAGTTAAATATGCGCCCTGTTCCAGAAGGAATTTGACTGTGTCCAAATGTCCATTCCCAGCAGCAGGGTGCAGTACCGACATACCCCCATTATCTACAGCATTTCAATTTGCGCCCTGTTTCAGAAGAAATTTGACTGTGTCCAAATAACCATTCTCGGCAGCAAAGTGCAGTGCCGACACGCCCCCATCATCTACAGCAGTTAAATTTGCGCCCTGTTCCATAAGGAATTTGACTGTGTTCAAGTGACGATTCTAGGCAGCAAGGTGCAGTGCCGTCAGGCCGTAAGTATTGCTAATATTTAAATCTGTACCTAGTTTAAGAAAAAATTTAACTATATGCAAGTGACTATGCTCGGCAGCAAGGTGTAGCGGCGTGAATCCATCTCCATCTCTACAACCGATTTTTGTCCCTTGCTCAATAAGGTACTCGACCATTTCCAAGTGGCCGCGCCGAGCCGCATAATGCAGCGGCATCTTTCTGTACCCATTTCTAATGTTGACTCCGCCCTTTTTTAAAAAAATCTCTAAGATTTTTAATGTATTATCAATAAATTCATTTCCGGATGGGAAACCATTTGTCTCTTTACAGATACTGTCCATCTTTGCATATTTGATGTCTCTAATAACTTCGAAATTTACGCAACTGAAGATGAGCCGTAAAATTACAACACAACCTTCTTCTGCGAGTGAATGAATAAAGTACTTATAATAAACGTCATCGTACATATGTATATACATATATTGTGTCACTTTTGTTCGACTTATAACTCTCAAAAATATTCGAAGGAATATTGTCTGCTTCCAATAGAAAATTGTCCGGGAAAGTACGTATAATTCTATAACCAGGAGACTGTAATACTTTATCGATGAAAAACTGTTGAAATTTTACATCAGGTTTGTCTAACTGAACTTGCAGCTTCTCAAATAGACATTCTGAAACAAAATATTCTGCGAAAGTCAATGAATAAACTGAAGTTCATCGTTTGATTTCTGCACGATCCCTATCTTTAACTAATTTTCGTCGATACTATCGTATTTTTGTTGTAAATACGAGAAAAGTTGACTAATTTCTTTATCTAGGTCACTTCTAACGCGAAGTTTTTGCAATAAGTAAGCGACTCATTAAATTGTTTAATCATTGGCCCAGTTGCGGCCGTGTTTCTATCAGAATTTCCTTTGTATATGTAAATGTTTCCCTTTTTCTTAATAAACATTTCGTATTATTTTTTGATATTTATTTTTTCTGGCAATTTCGGTTTCACTTTAGGCTTCTTCAAGTACTCCTTGCACCCTTCCCAATCTGAAGGCAAATGCTCCTTATGTCAGTTCCGAGCGGGCAGTCGAGCAGAGCACACGTTTTTTGTGAAAGTGTAGTACAAGGAGCAAATTCTATCTGCCTTTATTAAGGCTACCTGGAAAGAATCCCTTTCTTTCCTCTTAATCACCGACCTAATCNCATCAGGTGTACCTCAAGGGTCCATACTTGGACCTCTTCTGTTTGATATTTTTATTAATGATATTGCGGAAGATCTAAACATTCATGATTTATTATACGCTGATGATGTAAAAATATTTGGTCAGATCAACTCTGTTTTGGACTGTGAGAATCTTCAGAGAAATCTTGCCTCACTTAATGATTGGTGTAATAAAAACACGTTGCCTCTTAATATTAGCAAGTGTAATGTTATGTCTTTTCATAGGAGAAAAGTGCCTATCACATTCGATTATGTATTGCAAGGCAGTGTTGTCAAGAGGCTTGATTGTATTAAAGACCTAGGTATTATTTTTGAGTGTCTTGCGGCACATCCACGGTTCCTTAGCCGATGCGTATAGGAGTCTCGGATTTGTTTTGAGAAACTCTCGAGATCAGCAACCAGTCCACTCTGCGATTATTGTATACAACTTTTGTTAAGATCTAAATTAGAATATGGTTCAGTTATATGGAACCCAATTTTTGTTACATATCTTCTTATTAGAACGGGTCCAACGAAATTTTTTTAAATCTGTCGCATTTCTGTTGGATGGGGCTTATCCTGTTCGAGGTACTCCACAAGAATTATTCTGTGCTCGGTTTAACCTCGGTCTTATTAGCAGACGTACCATATAGAGTTCACAGAGTGAATTCAAGGAACTGAATCTATTTATGTTACTCTTTGCCCGTGCCAATTTATTATTAAAGTCTTTCTCTATCGCACGGATTTCTATGACTTTCTTTATCGCTCTCACGTAACGGCCGATGAACCATGGGAACTTTCCGACCCTGTATATATTTTTAAAGGAAGGTTTGTTTCTGTCGTTTTTGTCTGACTGTGTGCGAGAAAAATAGAATTATAGCGTGCGATAGAGATAAAGTGACTTTGTCCTCATAAAGGGATTTTCTCTATCTGTCTCTCTTTGTCTGTCTCTCTCTCTGCTGTCTTCAGGAGTCTCTGGGACTTTCCCATCATGTTCAGGACACATAGGGAGGGAGCGTGGGGTAGAGTGCGTGGCCTTTTTAGCCTTCGTTATCGAGCTATGATGTCACATCGTATGAGAAAAAAAAACAATTTTTGCTCGTAACTCGGAAATGGCTGGAAATATAAACAAATTTCCCCTGGGTTCTGAGAAGAGGACTCGGTGGATGAGGCAGAGCGGGGTGACACAATATATGAAAGAAAAAAAACAGTATTTGCTTGTACCTCGGAAATAACTAGAAATATCAAAAAATCTCCCATGGTCCTGGTTGGTGATCGAGTGAAAAACGTCAGAAGTCCGCATGTCGAAAAAAAATCGGGACCAACGGTGTGTTACATCATAGAATAAAAAAGTGTTTCTAACTCGGAAACAGTTAGTTGAATCGAAAAAATAATTGAAAAAATCTCCCCACACCCTTGGTTCTGTTTGTCCCACCTGTGTTGAATGCAAAAGGTCCGAAATCCGTATGTTGAAAATAAATTTCGGAAACAAAAGGTGTGTTAAGTGATACAGTAAAAAAGGTCTGATAACACGGAAACAGTGCGTTGAATAAAAAAAATATAAAAAAATCTCCCCACATCTCTGGTTCTGATTTCCTGTTCTGCGTTGAATGGAAAAGTCCGAAGTCCGCTTGTCGAAAAACAAAAAAGTTAGTCAAACATTGCAACAGCAGTAGCGAACGCATTATCTTATCTCTCTCTAAGGGATCGGTAAGGGATCGTTGATTAATGATTGTAATGTTGTTGTTTTTTTTTAAATAAATTTCGTATTCAACTACTCCTTGAGGTTCCAACAATTTTACATTGTGTTAATTTTTTTGATCTTGTGTCACAAATATGAGCACTACCAATGGCATCCATGATATGCAACACTTGTGTCAATAATTATTTTACCTATCTAAAAAAATCAACAATAAGAGAGTAGTACCCATCTAAGTATACACAACCTGTATAATACAATTTTTAAACATAGGTGTTAATAGCGTACCAAATTGAAAGTCGACGCACAAATCTAAAAACATTAATTTCAAGTTTTTGAATTCTTGCAATTCAAGGTGAAATAAATTAAATAATTAATTAGGTAAATTCACAGTTTTAATTCTAACTTGATTTATTTTATTTAGCATTTATCACAAATGTGATTTCCAAACAAAAGATAAGAGATCCATATCTCTTTAATTACATAATTGAATGCATTAAATATATTTGACAGTTATTATTTGGCAACAATGCCACCGCTAGAACTGTCGCCTATTACTAATTAGAAGAATGCCGGCTGACAAAAGCCTGCATCCTTTTCGGGTTGCCAATTTTCAGCATTTAACACGCAGTCTGTGGCGATAAGCTATATTGTCTGTGCTATAAGAATTTTTTTTTACCAACTCAACCAAGATAAAATTATTATCCTATCCAACCACGATAACCAGTTATTTATGATTTTAGACAGTGAAAAGGTAATTTATCGTATCTGATAGTAATTGGAATTATGCTATCGAATGTACTTATTTAAAAATATCGATTTATTTTGCAAAAATAAAATAACGTACTTTTTCTCAAAAAAACCCCAATATGAAATATTACAATTTTACTCCTAAAAACGGACGTAGTAATCCTTGGATTTTGTGGGATGACGCTCATTTCGTTCACACTCCATCAAGCTCTACATATTAAAAAAAAATCGGTTAAAATCACACAAACGGGTCACACTGTAAGTATAGGTATGTGAGAATATTATTTGGAACAAATACAGGGTGTCACCTAACGAATGTTACCTACATATACTTCAAATGATATCGATTTAACCAAACTTGCTTAAACGAGAAATGTCCCAAAAAAGTTACAGGGTGTTGAAGTTTCATTTTTTATTTCTTGTTTTCTGCTTAACTCAGAATCCATTTAACCGATATCAGCAAAATTTGCTGTTGCTTAGTTTAGTGCTTAGTAAAGTATGCAGTGATTACGTTCCCATAAGTTTAAATCATACGGGGCGTTCATTTTACTACAACCCTTTGTGAATAATCTTCTGTAACTTTTTTGTACGTTCAAATTTTTACACGCAACTATCACAAATAGGTAGAGAATTTTATTCTACACAAAAATGTGTACCTATCAAAAGTCGAAATTATGCTCGGTTATGAAGATATTGCAGATAAATATTTATATCCCATATTTTTTGGAAATAACTACATAGGTATCCATAATAAACATAATAAATAACACAATAAACTGAAAGGTGGCAGTAATAAAAAGTCTACTAATTTATAATAAATGTTCTACCTGTCCCCTATTCTCTTCGACACATTTCCTTAATAGTCCAGTCGGCAGAGGCCGAAAAGTTACTGTTGGTGACATTTTCTTTATAACTCGGAAATAACTACACAGGAATACTTTAAATGATGAGTACAATAACAGGCTAATTTGCTGACAAAGTATTTTATCAGGAAAAAAAGTTATTAACAATTTAATCGTGAAAAAAATTTTTTTATTAGTTTTCTTTAAAAAAGTTTTGCTCTTCTGATTTTCGGCTTTAGCGTCATTATTATATGTATATTGAACTATAGTTTTCGAAAGTTTTATCACTTTTTGTTTATAATTGACATTTTTACACAAACTTTAAAAAATTGACGTCTCATACCGTTTTTTCAATCTGACGGCTTTGTTATTGCAAATTTCGTAATCGGACCACCGCCATTTTATAGCTATTTTT